ACTACTGGAACTAATAGAAAGATTCAGCAGAGTAGCAGGATACAAGATAAACCTACAGAAATCAGTTGGATTCCTATACACCAATAAAGAGAACACTGAAAAGGAAATCAGGAAAATAATACCATTTATAATAGCCCCTAAAAAGTAAAATACTTAGGAATAAATCTAACTAGGGATGTAAAAGACCTATCCAAAGAAAACTACAAAACATTACTGCAAGAAACCAAAAGGGATCTACACAAATGGATAAAATACCATGCTCATGGATAGGTAGACTCAACGTTGTGAAAATGGCAACTCTACCCAAAGCAATTTACAAACACAATGCAATCCCAATCCAAATACCAACAACATTCTTTAAAAAGATGGAAAAACTAATCATTAACTTCATATGGAAAGGAAGAAGCCCTGGATAAGTAAAGCACTACTGAAGAAGAAGAATAAAGTAGGAGGACTGGAAGTACCTGACCTCAGTACCTACTATACAGCTGCAGTAGTCAAAACAGCCTGGTACTTGTACAACAACAGATACACTGACCAGTGGAACAGAATTGGGAACCCAGATGTAAATCCATCCACCTATGGTCACCTGATCTTCAACAAAGTCCCAAAGTCCATCAAATGGGGAACAGACAGTCTTTTCAACAAATGGTGCTGGCAAAACTGGAGGTCCATCTGCAAAAAAATGAAACAGGACCTATATATCACACCTTATACAAAAACTAATTCGAAACGGATCAAAGACCTAAATATAAAGCCAAAAACTATAAAGTTCATACAAGAAAAAATAGGATCAACGCTAGAGGTCATAATGCACGGCATTAACAGGATACAAACCATAACCAACAACACACAAACTCCAGAAGATAAGATAGATTACTGGGATCTTCTAAAATTTAAACACTTATGCTTATCAAAAGACTTCAAAAGAGTAAAAAGAGAACCTAAAGACTGGGAAAAAATATTTGAACATTACAAGTCAGACAAAGTTTTAATCTCTAAAATCTACAAGGAAATTCAACACCTCTACAACAAAAAGGCAAATAATCCTATTTAAAAATGGGCAAAGGAAATAACAGTCACTTCACCAAAGAAGACATTCAAGCGGCCAACAGACACATGAGGAATGCTCGCTATCACTAGCCATTAGAGAAATGCAAATTAAAACCACAATGAGAAACCATCTCACCCCAGCATTACTGGCATGAATCAAAAACACTGGAAATAACAAATGTTGGAGAGGCTGTGGGGAGATCAGAACTCTTATGCACTGCCGGTGGGAATGCAAGATGATACAACCATTTTGGAAAACGACATGGCACTTCCTTAGAAAGCTAGAAATAGAAATACCATACAATCCAGCAATCCCACTCCTAGGAATATATCCTAGAGAGAAATAAGAGCCATCACACGAATAGACATATGCACACCCATGTTCATTGCAGCACTGTCCACAATAGCAAAAAGATGGAAACAACCTAGATGCCCGTCAACAGATGAATGAATAAACAAACTATGGTACATACACACAATGGAGAATTATGCAATGATAAAGAACAATGATGAATCTGTGAAGCATCATATAACATGGATGATACTGGAGGACATTATGCTGGGTGAAATAAGTCAATTACAAAAGGACAAATATTGTATGAGACCTCTACTGTAAAAACTCATGTAAAAGTTTACACACAAAAAGAAACAATCTTTGTTGGTTACCAGGGATGCGAGGGGTTGGAGGGGGGAAACTAAACAGACAATAGATAAGTGGTAACTTTGGTGAAGGCTAGGCTAGTACACAATACTGGGGAAGCCAGCACAACTTGTATAAGGAAAGGTCATGGAAGCTACATAGACACATCCAAACTCCCTGAGGGACTGAATTGCTGGGCAGAGGGCTGTGGGGACCATGGTCTCGGGGAACATCTA